TCCTATCATCGTCAGCCCTTGGTTTGGGGGTCAGCAATATGAAGTATGATAAAAACTATGATGAATCTTTAAATTTTAAAAATTGTCACAGTAAAAGACATTGTCATAGCTCGTCCTCAGAATACTCCCCCTCCCTTTGAACGTACATATCTAATTCTTTCTACTTTCTGAAGCAGTTCTGGAAGTCCTTTTTTGTGAATGTCTTTAGTTGAGCTGTTGTGCAAAACTTTTACCTTGCATGAGGGATGGTGATGTTATGGTTTGTATCTAGATGTTCCCTCAAAGCCCCATGTGCTCATAAATGGAGCTTTGGGGAGATGGTTGGATCATGAGTATGTGACACTGGGATTAAGAGTGTGTGATAACTAAATGGGCTTAGCATAGTTCTGGGTGTGGATAATGGAATCCTTACACTGTATATGAGTGGCACCAATTAACAGGTTTGCAGCTTGGATGGAATATAAAGGGACAGAAGGAAGGCAGGCTGCTACTCTCTGCTGGTGCTTTCTGCTTGCCCTGCCATGGACTCTGCAATGCCACCTTGCCTTAGAGCAAGCCAACTATGGACTGAAACCTCTACAAACTACGAGCTAAAAAAACCATTTTCCCCCTTTAAGTTGTGAGTGTCAGGTATTCTGTCCCAGCAACAAGAAAGCAGCTAAGACAGGTGGAGAGCCAGAAGTTGCCAGGTCTAGTGAATAAGGTGAATGAGGACACAGCATCATGTTTTGCAAGCCTGCTTTCCATTGAATGGAACTCAGCAGAAGCATTCATCATGACCTCATAGTGTCAAAAACAGCATTTTTAGAACTGCTTCAGAAAGTGTAAAGAATGATGGCATAAGTATATTCAAAGCAAGTGAGCGCATTTTGAAGAGGACCAGTGACAATGCATTTTTTAGTGTGATAAATAAGGAATTGAGCAGGACACTCAAAAAGAAGAACAAACATAGGATTTATTAAAAGCAAAAGAAGCAAAGGTACACTCCATAGGGTGAGAAAGGGGCAGTGAGAAGAGCTCATGGTATTAAGTGTCTTAAGGTCTTGGGGTTATGGGAGGGTCTATAGCTAGAGATTGGTAAGAGTCATGGCACACTGGGTACCTGATTCTTCTCACCTCTTGGGAGGGGGAGTGTTTGACCAAACAAAGTTTTTACAGGAAGTGTTACAGTGTTCAAAACCCTCTGTGTGGGGGTGCAGAGGGAAAACCACAATGCAAATGAAGTTGGATGCAGGCGAGGGTCATGCACTTTTGGGTTTGTGCATGCCTTATGGTCTTAGGGGGCAGGGTGACCATACCTATTGGTGTTCTGATGTTTTGATGTAGTTGTCCTTGCTCTGTCTGATTTCTTGGTTCTTGTCCCACAGTTTTCTGTTGTTTATTTGCCCTTGCTTTACCTCCTACCCTAAGGTAGGCACTGGTGTTGTGGCCATCCTGGGATATACAATAAGCTACACCTCCACCTGAAAGACTCTCTCCTCCTCCAACCAGCAGCCAGTAGTCCTTTCTAGAGACATCTCCCTCTACTTCTCCTGGATAAGAGGACCCTCATGTGTGCTACTACAGCAGCATAAGAAATTGCCTCCTTGTCATTACGTTGTGAGCATAGGATTTGAGGGTTAATGTCTTTCATCTCACCCACTAGCCAGGCCCTGTGGGACTCTGACTGTTGTTTAATATTGTATTTCTAGTAATACAGGAAAGGAGGAGGAAAATAGGAGGAGGAGGGGAAGGAAAAAAGAAGGACATGAACAATAATTTGAGAGTTCTGGCAGCTTTGGGTTGGATTTCAGGCCTTTTGCTGACCATGGGCAACACTGACCCTGAGCTGCTGGGTGTAATGTTCCTGGGTATGGTCATAGCAACTCACTGGAGGAGGTGACACTGCAGTGGGCTTTACAAACTTTCACTACCTCCATGTGTGTCTATTAGTTCTTCTGTCAACACCACACAGATGGCTCTGAGGACAAGTGAAGAGGATGATCCTAGAAGTTTAAGGTGCGTGGAAGACAAGACTTCTTAAGGCAGTGGGCCTGTCAACAGAGTTCACTGAAGCTTTTCCTTATTACTCTGTCAGGACAAATCACCCCACAGTGTGGGATATGCTGAGTACAGGCTGTTTGCATTAGGGTGAGGCAGAAGATTAGGGCATGGCAGACTGGCTGGGGAAGTGGACCTGACTTATTAATTACAAAGTCCCAGGACACATGTGCAGAACAGTTGCAAAAGCTCTGCACATGGAACCAATCAGAGAGTGCCAGCTTCAATTTTTCTCATGAAAACTCAAGCAAGTTCTCAATAGGATGGCCTAGACCTGATGTCAGCCTGAAGAGCGCAAGATACAAAAGGACAGTTACTATTAAGTTCTCCTTTCTCTCTGAAATCTATGAACTCAAGCTGAGATGAACTGGTTTGTTTTTCTTTCCGTCTCTCTCCCATAGGAAAGGTCCAATCCTTTTCTCATCCCTTCTTTTCTAGGTTGGCTTTTCATCCTTCTGAAGGCTTGAATTCTTTATTGGAGAAAGGGGCAGAACTAGAGGGTGGTAAAAATTAATGGAAGCTGGGGACCTCAGAAAGTTTTCTCATGGAACTACATTATGGTTTGTGTCTAGATGTTCCCCCAATGCTGGATGCAGTCCTGGGGAGGCAGGCTTTTCAGTCCTGCTGAGGTGGGTTAGATCTAGAGTGTGTGATGCTGAAATTAAGGATATGTTATTAGTAAATCAGTCCACTGATTGGTTTGGCATAGTTCTTGCTAGGATTAAGAGTGTAAGTGCTACACCTACCCTAAAGTGGGTAGCCTGCATACAGTATAAGGGACAGAAAGAGTCTTGTCTTCCTCTTCCCTTCTTTGCTTTTGCTATCTTCTGCTGCCATGAACTGTTTCTCCTTTGGTATGTCCCTTTGCCAAGCCACCCTGCCTTGAACTCACCTGATTATGGACTGAAGCTTCTACAAACTGTGAGCTAAATAAACCTTTCCTCCTTTAACTTTGTGTGTCAGGTATTTTGTCTTTGCAAGAGTAAAAAGTAAATAAAACACATTGGGAACAGTTTCCTAGTATGTCCCACCATGTGGGGGGTGGGGTAGGTGCACAGTCTCTGTGTTTTTCCCAGCCAGTAAGAGACCCATAGATTCACCTCAAGTTTATCTTCCCTTTTCTATCTTCTCTTTCCTGGTGCTGGTCACTTATTGTAGGTATGAGTGGCCCGGCTCAGTGAAGAGCTGCCAGAGAGCTTGTTTTTTTCTTCTTATTTTATGCATAATAAAACATATTTTCATAACTAAATAATGAGAGAATAACAATAGTTATCATACTGTGTATCATTATCTTTAAAGTAAATATAAGACATAAACCAAAAAGATTCTTACAAAAGAGAAATAGATAACACAAACTTTTCTTTTCAATAAATTAAGATAAAGTTTTAGTATAAATAAAACAAATTAGCATATATATTGAAACATTTTAAAGCAATGGACTATCTAATTTGGGGAAGTATTTGAACTTATCTATGCTGCATATTTATCTCATATGTATAGATGGTTTCTTACATATGAGAAACCATGTGATATTTGAGCTTGTGTGTCTGACTTACTTCCCTTAATATTATATTCTCAAATTGCACCCATTTACCTACAAATACCTCAATTTATCTTCCTTCATGGAAGCATAGTACTCTATTGTGTATAAATACGTTTTCCTTATCCATTCATCTGTTGGTGGACATACATGCCTGTTTCCAAGATCTAGCTATTATAAATTGTGCTGCTATAAACATGGGTGTGCATGTGTCCTTGTAATATGATTTTTAACTCTTTTGAGAAAATACCTGGCAGGGGGGAATAGCTGGGTCAAATGGAATTTTTAGTTTTAGTTTTCTGAGGACTCTCCACACTGATTTCCATAGTGGTTTTGCTAGTTTACATTCCCATCAGCAACAAAGGAGAGTTCCTTTTTCCTCCACATCCTCACTAGCGTGCTATTATTTGATTTTTTTGATGACAGCCATTCTTTCTGAGGTAAGATGGTATTTCAGTGTACTTTTAACTTGCATTTCTTTGATGGCCATCCATGATGCTCATTTTTTCATGTATTTATTGACCACAGAGAGGCTGTTATTAACCCAGCTGCAGAACAGAAGGCTCAGGTTTCATGTGCCTAGCCTAGAATTTACACTGCCTTTTTTTCCTCACTTTTCCATTCCCTATGATACTTTGCTCAGCTTTCTCACTTTTTAGGGAAAATGGCTATTGGTAGCTGGGTCTCCACCTTAAATATCTACCTACTCAAATGTACCCCTTTTTGTGCTTAAAGTTTTATTGGTGTTTTCCCCCTAGATGGCCTTTTGTCTCTAGATATCCTTAGTGAGCTGCTTTCTCAGGACCTTGTTTCATCCGAGTCACATTTGTCACTGTACCTGTGGCATTTTGGTTCATCCTGTGGGTCAGTCACATGGTTCTACCTTGTGTGTTTGTCATTTTCTTTTTTTTCAATGGGCCTCATGTTCACTAGGAACTCTCACCCTTGTAGATGAGAGCTAAGCCTCCAATTTTCAGGAAGATATGGGCCTCCTCCCCTCTTCTCTTTTGAATTAGGTTAGATCTCTTCCCTGTTTTTTCTAACAGAAATTCGGGTAATTTCAAATATATGCGGGGGTGGGGAGGGTGTGAGCAGAATGAAAGAACTACCAGTACAGCTCAACACAAGTGCAGCCATCCTGCTTCTTAGGACTTTTTAAGTTTGTTTTTCTTTAAAGATGTTTCTGTTTCTCCTGCCTTAAATAAGGTACAGTACTGCAGTTTTTATTATTGGGATAATCCAAGGAATCTTATTTCTCAAGTGGCTCTAACCTGATCTCTTAAGAGTTTATTTCTGAAGTGGCTAAGGGAGTTCCCCGGTGGGAGCTCCACCCTGATCTCATGGAATTTCTAAGGTGGCTGCTAGAGGGCCCCACCCTTCTCCCTAAGAGATTAGTGGGTCACAATATGGAGAATCCTAAGGCTAACAGCGCACACCACCCCCAGGGGGCTCTACTCTTCTCAGAAGGCACCAGTATTTCTCAAGCTTTGAGTGGAGATGTCTTAGTAAGTAATTGAGATTTTTTTGTAAGTAATTGATGCTTTGTGGCCTCAGCAGGTCCCTTCCATGTGGGATGCCATCTGAAGGACTCCAGGCCCCGTTCTCTCCCTCTTTGTAAGTCTCAGGCAAGCCATGGGAAACACCATAAACAGCACACTACAGATCCCACCAATTGTGCCATTAGGCTCTATCCTTGAACACTGGAAAATGCTTGATCCTGCCAGTCTGAAAAAGGAATGACTTATCTTTACTGCAATATGATTTGAGTCCAATATGAGGGATGGAGTGGCAAGAGATGGGACCAAATAGCAGTTTAAATTACAATACTGTTTTTCAGTTAGATCATGTCTTGGTTACTTTTCTCATTGCTGAGACAAAATACCTGACATCCAAAGTTATAGGAAGAAAGGTTTATTTGACTCACAGTTTGCCAAGGTTTCAGTTAATCATAGTTTGCTGTTTCCGAGGCAGAGTGGCATAACAAAGGGCCATCGCAGTTCATGGCAGGCAGAAGGCAACAACAAGCCTCTTTCTGTCCCTTATATCTCGTCCAGGCTACCCACCCTTAGAGTGGGTAGCACCCACATCCTTAATCCCAGCAGCACATCCTGAATCCCATTGTCACACACCCTAGATCCAGCCACCTCTAAAAAGCCTCACTTATAACCACACGAGGCTTGCTGGGGACATCTAGACACAAACCATAACAGATTGCCTCTACAACAGCCAAGGAAGATGGCTCGAAATCCCTTACATAGAAGTTTTTATGGTTCTTTATTGATGGAAAAGCCCACAAATTGTGGTATTTAGAGTCTTGATGAAGACGCAATTGATTTTGTTGGTGATCCTGTCCTCAGATCCCCACCTGCCTCTCAGGGGGACATGGGTCTGTCCCATCTGCTTAATGAAGACCCTCGTAGTATTACAGGTGAGGCCCCAGACTCTGATGACCCAATTGCTGGATATGGCTTTTTCTGTGTTTAATAGTCAGGATCTAGAGGATGAAAGTCAAAGGGCTGAGAAAAAAATTAGTTCAAAATTATGGCTGTCATAATTGGCAATGCTTTAAGCCCACCCAAGTTGTCCAGTGAAAAACCTAGGGCCAGTTAAGGCCAACAAGAAAACTGGTCATGGGGCATGTGACTATACCCAGCCATTGCCTGAGCCCTGCTTTGTGCATCAGGCAGCCTGTATGTCTGACTCATGGCAGTGGAGGATTGACTGTCTGTGCTTCCTAGGCCACCAGAACCCATCTCTGCTCTGATAAAGAGGATTAAAGACGCCTGGGGTAACCTATAGTGCCCCCATCCACAGACATCTCCATCTCCTGAGAGAAACCTTGAGTGACCTTGTACTCATAGGTATGCAATTTCAATTACTTTGACTTCTGTTTTAACTTCGTTCTCTGGAATACCCTCCTCTAGATCTACAGCCTTTGAATATCTTTTTTATTTTTTGAGAGAAGGTCTAGCTATACAGCTCAGGCTGGCCTTGAACTCACTATGTAGTCCAGGTTGGCCTGGAACTCATGATGTTTCTCCTGCTTAAGTTTCCTGAGTGCTGGGATTATAAGCGTGCACCACCATGCCCAGCAAAATTTATATACAGACTCCAAATATGCCTTTCTGGCTGCTACATGCCCACGTCACAATCTGGTAAGAAAGGGGCTTGATAACTAATAAATAATCATTTATAAAACACAATCAGGAAGTTCTACAACCCCTAGTGGCAGTCTATCTTCAAGCAGGTTGCTGTCATTCACTGAAAGGGATAGCAGAGGCATGTTTAAAGTCTCTTTGGGAAATCAAAATGCTGGTAGAGGGGCAAAAAGGGCAGCCTTGCAGCCCTTCCAGATTTTAGCCTTATTTCCTGTTCCTGAGGAATGATTCAAACTGATTCTTCCTCAAGAGACATAGTGGAAAGCTATAAAAATCCTACATGGGAAATGGTCACTAGAATTTTCACAGGAGTAAAAAGAAAGCTATTCCTGAGAATCTCTGGAAGACCTGGGGTTCCTCTTTAAAAAGTTGGACCTGCTCCTTCTCATATTTGGGCTCTACACCTCCAATGGAATAGTAAAGTTACTCTTTTGACAAATTCACCACAGTTTCTCCCACCAAACAGGCAGCTGAACAGTCACTAACTCTTTTCTCATTGTCTTACAACAGGTTTTTATTTCTTCAAACCAGCTGATGAGCCATACCACCCCAAGATAACTGGACAGCACACAATTCCCTGTAGGTAGGGCTACAATCTCTTTCAACAAGAAGTAGATATAACGTTGGAGACCTTATATGTCTCTTAGGGGAAAATGAGACAGGAGATTAGGGTATGGCAGATTGGCTGGGGAAGTAGGCCTCACCTATTAATTACAAAATCCCAGGACACTTGTACAGAACCATCTCCAAAGCCTCGCATGTGGACCCAGTCAGACAGTGCTGTCTTCAAGTCTTCTTGTGAGAACACTATGCAGTTTTGATAGGACAGCCTAGACCTGATGTCAATCTAGGGTGTGGGAGATATAAAAAACAGTCACCATTAGGCTTGGGGGCCACTGTGCTGTTTCACAGTGATCTGCTCTCACCCTTCAGAGTGCACTATTTTCCTACTTTTACTTGGTCCAAACTCTACAGGGCACATTTTTTCCCCTACCTTTAATAAATATGAATCCTCCTACCTTTTGTACTTGTCTTGGCCAATTCTTTTCTCAGGATGGAAAGAACCTAGAAACTGACTCTAGAAGGAGACTCCAGTGCCCAGTATCAAAGGGACACGAGATCTCAAAGGTGGGAGGTGCCCCAAGAAGCCCCCACTGCTGTGGGTGTGTAGGTAGGCTCACTGTCAGAGCTCTCTTACAGTGAGCCCACCCAGGAGAAGCTGGTGGAGGAGCAGGCAGAGCTGCGAGTTGAATGAGGATTCCAGGATCAGGGAGAGGACCGGGCCTGACCATACTCTGGGCTAAAGCAAAAGGAAAAACTAGGATTGCTGCCTTGGCTTAAAATTCTGAGAGTTTTTTATTATAAACTTCTATATATTAATTCAGATTTTAAAACATTGCATTAAAATATCATTTTTATGAATTATGGGGTTTTTTGGTAATCCCTCCCCCTCTTTTTGAGACAGAGTTTCCTTATGCAGTTCAGGCTTGACTTGAACTCACTATGTAGCCCAAGCTGGCCTTCTTGGCAGGAAGTGATCCTCCTGCCTCTGCCTCCCAAGTGCTGGGATTATAGGTGTGCATCACTAAGCCCAGCTCTGGCATTCCTTTTAATTTTACTCCCAAAGGTAAAACTTTTCTCCACCCTCCCGTGGGCCTTGACTACAGGAAGTTTGGAGGTAGAGGTGGGGTAAGGGTGGTGATAAGTCTCAGCCTGTAGCTTGGACAAAGTGCCCAGGCACAAGGCCAGCAACACAGGCAGAGTCAGGTTGCCCCTTGCAATGTCTCCCTGGGAGGAGTCCCCAACACACTGAAGGCTGCCTGTGACCCCTTTGCTTGGGAGACAAAGAAGTTGCAGTCTCCGCTGAGGAAACTTGCTCCCGCCAGCCATTTTCAGCCTCCAGGACACAGTAGCTCCAGGGTGGGACACCATGAGGTGGGGTGGCCAGTACAGAGCTGAGTGCCTTCAGGAGCCCCTGCCCTTCCTTTAGGGCAGAGCACAGCAGAGATGCCAAGAGCTCCACCTTTATGTGCTTCCAGGAAGCAACTCGGCATCAGGGTGATGAGGCAAGTCTCCTACTGCTCCTCCCTCTGCCAGAGACCCAAATAGGCTGGCAGAGTGTGTGTGTGTGTGTGTGTGTGTGTGTGTGTGTGTGCACACACACACACACACACACACACACACTGAAGGTGCAACCTGTACAGCAGAGGAAAAAACCTGGAGACTTCTGAGTCCTGCTGATCCCCAGAGGATTCCTTCCAGCTCCCTATTCTCGGTGCAGAGCAGGGCAGGAGATTTTCAGATGTGGGGGACTGTCGTTGGAGCCCCTGACCCTGACTGTTCTAGCCAACACCCCTAGACCTGTGTATCCAGCAGGTGGGACTTTAGAGCCATGTGCCCTTATCCATCTGTTCTCTCACCAGCCACTTAAGCAGATAATGTTCATAAATGCAGGCTAAGGGAGGGAAAGCGAGTCTATCCGCCTCCAGTGGGAGCACAGACACTCCAGGTCAATCACCTGTGCTGTGCCCGTCACTCTCCAGTGGCACAGTGCGGGTGGTGTCACCTCCTTCTCTGCAGGGGAATAGTGGGGAGATCTGCTGATTTTCTACCAGCTAGAGACAGGATCCAAACATAGTCATTTTGCTCAAGGTGGTAGCTATAAAGAGATCATACGGGGAATGAAGAGCAGAAGGAGAGAATTTCCAAAAGGCATGCAGGAGTGTTGGATAGGTAAAATCTAAGACAAGTTACATTTGAATTCCAGAGAGGGTGAAAAATTTTTTAGCATAGGTACATACTTATGCTAAAATATTACCCGCTGTTTATCTGAAATGTACACAGGGGGCCTTAGTTTCTATTTGCTACATCTGGCAGCCCTACGTTGGGAGCAAGAAAAGATGCAGGGTAAAGGAGACCAAGGATCCTGAAAATAAACTTTATGAATTTCAAGTATGGTGTGGAGTGAAGTCTGCATACCTCTTCCCCACTGCTGCGTGTAGGACAGGACGCTACTTGCCCCAGTTGGGAGGGCTGGAGTGGAGGGAAGAAGAGAGGGCTTCAAGTTTGATTTGCTACTACAACACGGCTGAAACTCAAGGACATAATGTCAAGGGATCTAAGCCAGACACACAAGACAAATACATGACTCCACACCTAAGAGGTACCTAAGCCAGGCAAATTCACAAAGACAGACTAGCAAGGCTCTTGCCAGGGGTTGTACAGGAAGGGAAGTAGGGAGTTTGTAGTTTGTCTGAGACAGGGTCTCACTATGTAGACAAGGTTGGCTTTGAACTTGTGATCTTTTTGTCTCAGTCTCCCAAGTGCTTGGATTATAGGCATGCACTGCTATGCCTGGCTGGGAGTTTTATATGTATTGAGTACAGAGTCTCAGTCCCAGATAATAAAAAAATTGTGAAGAGCTATAGTAATGATGGTTACACAACATGGTGTGTGTACTCCATGCTACCAAACAATTGCATTAGTCAGCTTCGTTACTAAATGAAATACCCATGGCAGCTTAACTTTCTGTCTGTTTAGGCCATAGTTTTGGAGCTCAGAGCTTGAGACTGGTTAGGGCAGTGAGATCCACTTGTTTGGCCTCTGTGGGGAGTGAGTAGATGGCAGTGTATCACCATGGGAGCCTGAAGAGGAGCAACAGCAACATCCTGAACAGGGTGGAGAGGAAGAACATGGTGGGCCCTTTGTAAGGATCCTCTGCCAAGATCACCTCCTGCCCAATGACCTAACTTCATCCCTCTGAGCCTCACCTTCCAAGGGTCACTGTTAAAAACAGTTTAAAAAGTACATTTTTAGCTCACTGTGGTAGTGCTCACCTATAGTCCCAGCTACTCAGGAGTCTGAGGCAGGAGAATAGCTTAAACCCAGGAGTTCAGGGTCAGCCTGGGCAACAGAGCAAGACTCCTATCTTTTATTTAAAAACAAAGTAAATGTGATGTATATTTTTATCACAATTTTTAAAAGGAATTTATTCTGAGGTCCTGAAACAAGCTTCAGAGGTAGGCACATCTGGCTCACATCCTGGTTGCCTCAGGCATGAAAAATAAAGAAACATAGATGAAGTTCAGGGTTCTTGGGCTCCACATGGAGGCTGCAGGGCCTGAGCTCAGTGCCAGCCGGGGTGGGGACAGGCTTATGTGACCCAGCTGAGGTCACACCGTAGACGGAGGCCCCAGGGCTCATGTCTCCATGCGCAGCTCATTCCTCTGCCTTACAGGGAGAGGAGCACGCAGCCCTCTCGTTTCTGCTCTCCCCTCCAGTCCTGCCGCAATGAGCTAATCTCTTTTCCCATCTTTCTGAGAAGGGCTGTCTATAAATATAGCATCTTCTCGCAAACAGGCTCCAGGGGTGAAGGGCAGATCACCAGAGGGGTGCAGATGGCAGACGAAGGGTCTGGATTTAGCCTAGGCAACTGGCTCAGGTCACCCCCAGGAAGAGCCAGCAAAAGAGAACACTGCTTTTTAGGACTGGGACCTCACGTGGCCTAGTCACAGCCTAGGAGGATCATGGATTGATGTGGGGGTTTGGATACAGAATATAAATTTTTATCAGCAACTGCTAGGCCTTCTCCCTAGTTCTTGCTTTAGGTGCCCAGGCTGGGCTAAATCCAGGCCAGATAGAATTAGCTGTCGCTCAGACAGACAGACCTTACAAGGAAACCACAAGACCAGGGAGGCAGGGAGTGAATAATTCAGGGGCAGTTCTCAACCTGCCGTGATCACGGATGGTCTGGGGCTTCTGGTCGGGCCAACTCACCTTGTCTAGCTAAAAGAACTAACATACTAGCTCTTTCCACTGCCATCCCGAACAGCATTACTCATAGCAAATGTTTTAAAATGCTGTCTGTGCTATTTAAAGTGATGTTCATAGTTGGTATAACTGACCTACACATATCATTTTAAGAAGTAAATATAATGCCTTAACTGTAGGAGAAATAAAAGGAAAGTAACTCAGATACCTTGCATTTCAAAATCTAAACACTTAGGCATAGCTACATTAAAATATAAGGGGGTACTTTGATACTCATCTTTATTACAGTGGACATTTCTAGGCGTAAGAGCAGCAAGAAAATATTCAAATGAAAATCATGTGCCTTTTGGACATTTGAAATAGAGTTAGCTGCGTGGGAAAGAAGGGAGGGAGAGCCACCACACATGTATGAGCTACACTGTGGCTGGGCTGATGACTTTGTACCATCCACAGCATTAAAATAATAGGATTTTCCAGAATGGTGAGCTACACTTGATGAGTTTGAAGCAAAACATATTCCCACTTAGATTTGCACTCTAGTTGGAAAGTTCAGTAAACTGATAGTGAAAACCACTTTCTACCATATGGAAAGCAGAGTTTGATTCCGTTTCTGATTTATAAGCCTGGATTTCCCACCTACATGACATTTTGAAAGCTGAGCAGAATAATTCTCCACTTTGGGGAACTGTGCTGCACATTACAGAGGTCTCATTAGGGACACACTGTGACCTCTCCCCATAACGGGAGTCATGTCCTGCCCACTGTGACACCCCCCCACTGAGGGCCAAAATGCTCTATGTATTTCTTCCCTTGTTCCATTCTTATTTTTTTCCTTCCCTTCCCTTCCCTTCCCTTCCCTTCCCTTTTCCTTCTCTGTAATCACATTAGTCTAAGAAATAGGCACAGGGAAAGGGGATAGCTTAATTCTGTCAGCCTGTGTGGGATGTGGAGGAAAAACTCAGATGGTTCCCTGCTAGAGCAAAGGAGTCAAAATCTGCCTTAGCAGGAGGGACGCTCGTGAGGATCCTCTGTCATTCTCAACTCTGTAGAGAGGTATGCTTCAGAAACCACTTCCCAGAGCACCATCTTGGCTGAATCCACACACTGATCCCACTCAGTAGGTGGGACAAGGTATCCTAGCCTCTTTCTCACCCTAGGACAAAATGCCTGACACCCGCAGTTTCAAGGAGGAGGGCTTCATTTTGCTCGGTGCATGGTTGGCCAGCTCTAAGGCACAAAT